TCATTGAAAAAATTTCCTCCTAGACTATATCTAGTCTAAATCTCCCCTCTTTTAACTCAAAACCATTACCTCTTGTTCTGTCAGTAGAGGCCCTCTTAAAAAGTTTGCCCCCATCATTCTTATAGGCCCCCTTTAAGTATTGAAAGGCTGCAGTAGGGTCTCCCTGGAGCCTTCTGTTCTCCAGGCTGAACAGCCCAAACTTTCTCAGCCTCCCTTCATAGGAGAGGTGCTCCAGTCCTCTGATCATTTCTATGGCCTCCTCTGGACCCGCTCCAGTAGGTCCACGTCTTTCTTGTACTGAGGACCCCAGAGCTGGACGCAGCACTCCAGGTAGGGTCTCACCAGAGCAGAGTAGACAGGGGGAGTCACTTCCCTTGACCTGCTGGCTTAGGCTGGGTCCAGCTCTGGTGGGACCCGCTCCCCTGTTCCGTAGCGCTGGGGGAAAGCTTGGTACCTTGAGCGCTGTATCGCAGAGACAGAAGTGTACTGAAACGGGATAGCTGGCAGAGCCCTGCCTGGCTTTAGCTGTCCTGTCAGCACCCAGCTCCAGCACCAAACGGATCTTCCCTCTTTGCTGTCTCACATCACCCAAACCTGAATTAGATACGCTGCTGCGTTCTTGCTCGGGCTCAGCAGCACCAAGAGAGAGATGAGCTCATCTGATCTTTGCAGGGTGACCTCCCTGTGTGCAATACTGCCATCACCTCCGTGCTGATGTGCGTTGAGGAGTCAGTTCAGAGACTGCGCCGTCTGTTTCTGCTTTGTGCTTAAAAACACACCTTTGGTCTGAAATGCTCTAAGCTAGCTGTAGCTCTTGGAAAAGCAGCGATTTCTGTAGAAACTTGTTCAAGCCCTGCTGGTTGGGTCTGTGTCTTAAGTGAGAGGTTAAAATGCTGTAACCAGAATTTGATGGAAATCGGGGAATGTTCCTCTGTCAAAAACTGTGCTGCACCTTTTGGTGTTGTGACGCTAATAGGTTTTCATGCTCTGGTTTTGTTTTCTTTCAGGCCTCTGCAGCTCTTGCCAGAAAGAAAGCCAAAGAGTTGCACAAAGACATAGTAACGTTTTGGCAAAAGAAGAAAACAAGTAAGTCTGTGTTTCCAGGGTTTCCATGATTACTGGGTGATGTATAAATGGTGTCCCATCTGCTCTGTTCTTGTTTCCTGATGTGCTGAGATCGATACAAAGATGATCTCCACAGTAGGAATGTTGCAGCTCCAGAATCCCAGCATTGCCTCAATTGGAAAAGCCCTTTAAGCTCATCGAGTCCAATCATTGACCCAACACTGACAAGTCCCCGACTAACCCATGTCCCTCAGCACTGTGTCTACACGACTCTCCAATCCCACCAGGGAAGGTGACTCCACCACTGCCCTGGGCAACCCCTTCCAATGCCTCAGAACCCTTTCAGCAAAGAAATTCTTCCTCACATCCCATCTCAACTGCCCTGGCCACAACTGGAGCCCATTTCCTCTTGTCCTGTCCCTTGCTCCTTGGTTGAACAGACCCACCCCCACCTCTCTCCCCCCTCCTCCAAGGGACTTGCACAGAGCCACAAGGTCTCCCCTCAGCCTCCTTTTCTCCAGGCTCAGCACCCCCAGTTCCCTCAGCCACAAGGGAACTCAGCACACTTGTGCTCCAGACCCTTCCCCAGCTCCGTTCCCTTCTCTGGACACGCTCCAGCACCTCCATGTCCTTCTTGGAGTGAGAAGTAGGATGGCTCTCTTTGACTTGCTTCTGGAAGCATTGAAGTTTATTCTTTATGGAAGCATAAAAATAGTTGCTCTGCATTTTATGTTACATCTTGGCTAGCTCTGTGGCAAAGGCTAATAGCGATTATGCAGGGGAGGGGAAAAAGAACAGGATAAAGTGTGTAATTGATTCCAGAATTATTTCTCAGCCTTTAACAGCCTCTGTTTTGGGAACCCTGGTGCCAGAAGGAGCCTTAGCCCTTCTGTCTTAGCCCTTGGAGAATTTTTCTATTGTGAAGTTACCCAGTTGTTTTTGTAAGCTGTGTAAACTTCCAGCATCCACAATGCTGTCCTCTGGTATTGAGAAAGTTTTAAGTGAGTGACTGCAAATCACAGTTGGAAGTCGTACAATTTCTTTCTTAAATTCCTGTTGTCTCCAACGTTTTGCTTGATCTGAGCCAAAAATACTGTTTCAGCCATAGAAAAGAGCCAAAGACACTTGAAGTAACAGCATAGTTTGAGAGGAGAGTTTAGAAACCATTCCTACAGCCTCACAAGAGGAATATGTTAACTTTGTGCTCCTTTCAAGAAGCAGAATGTTCTTTGGGGATGTAAGAAAAGCCAGTTTCAGATGCCTTGCTGCCTGCTTCAGAGCATGGACTGGGATGTGGGTTTCTAGCTTTCAGGAAGGTGTCCTAAGAACTGAGCTATGAACTGAGCTTAGAAATGGAAAACCTGGATAGCAGACCCTGCTTGGGATTAGGGCAGGAGGAGATGTGAGTGTTGGCTGTTCATTCCCTCGGCAAATACTTGAATTCTTGAATATTTTATTTAGCTTTATGAATGCTACGTGTTTACCTTGGAGATCCTAGCCTAGGGATACACTTCAGCTGTTGGCACACGAGTGGTTTGCCACAGCTTTGACCATCCACAAACTTGCCTTTCAGAAAATGACCAGCTGCAGAGTTGTCTGTCTGAGAATTAACATCTTGAAGCAGCAGCTCTAGGGGTGTTGGTTCACCTTTGTAAATTTATTGTGGTGTTAAGTGAATGGCAGTATTCTAAAATAACTAATCTGAGAGAATTTAAGAAATACAACTGGTTGAAAATCTGTTCCTGGGAGAAGAAATTCTCCCTTCCTGCAAGGTGTAGATGTAACTCTTGAGAAGGCAAGCCCATCTCAAACTAAGCAGGGTATGTGAAAATAATAATTAAAATGCATCAGCAGGAGCACTGGAAATTGTGTTTTCTGTAGGTGAAATGGATTTCATATCCTGTAAAGAGTTAAAACTTGTGTATTATATCCCGAACCTGAGAGAACTTAAATTCAGATGATGATCAGACTTCATTTACTGACAATGTGCTGGACAATTACAGTTATTGCTAAGTGATGTTTTATTGAAAACTACTTATTCTTCATAGAAGGGTGAAGCTGACTAGCAATTGGTAAACTTACTTGGTACAACTTCTAGTGCAAGTCTGTGAAGTTTTGCATATATGTACAAAACTGTGACCACCACCTCCAAGGGGGAAAAATGTTATTGCTTAAATTACTGGGCAAGTACCTGACTTCATGTTTATTTGTCACTTCAGGTCCTGCAGAAAGAGAATTTTCATCCAAGGAGAAGAAAGCAGGTGAAGATGAAGGAAGACAAAGCAGTGAAGAGCAAAACTATCAGCATTCCCCTCTTCGAAAACCCTTAATAAGATCCTCTGCCAGCAGCGTTGTGCCTGGTAAAAAGTACGTCTGCTCCTCTGGGAATCCATTGGGCAGGATACAGGGTGAAAAACGGTGATGGTCAGCGTGTGCCAAGTAGCCACATTCTTGCCAGGGCGTGTGCTTCCCTTGTCTCTTCTGGCATGCTTGTGTTTCAAACGTGGGGCTTTTGGGGCTGAATTGTAGGCTCATGAATCTCACACTTTGTCAGAAAAGTACTTCTAGCTGCTCATTGAGGCCTTTTACTGTTTTCATGCGCGTGTTTCTTTTGAATGTTCAGTTTGTAACCACAGCTGCAGTAACGAGTCATAAGGGAATTGAATGAAACAGCACAGAGGAAAAGAGGACCAAGCAGTGATGACACTGTTCTGTGGCCATAGAATGTGTTGGAAGGGACCTTAAAGCTCACCCAGTCCCAACCCCCCTGCCATCAGCAGGGACACCTTCCACTAGACCAGGTTGCTGAAAGCCTCATCCAACCTGGCCACAAACACTTCCAGGGAGGAGCAGCCACAGCTTCTCTGGCCAACCTGGGACACTGTCTCACCACCCTCACACCAAACAATTTCTTCCTCACATCTCAGCTCCATCTCCCCTCTGACACTTTCAAGCCATCACCCCTTGTTCTCTCACTCCCTGCCCTTGGCCAAAGTCCCTCCCCAGCCTTCCTGGAGCCCCTTCAGGTACTGGGAGGCCACTAGAAGGTCTCCCTGGAGCCTTCTCCAGGCTGAACAGCCCCAACTCTCTCAGCCTGTCCTCACAGCAGAGCTGCTCCAGCCCTCGCATCATCCTCGTGGCCTCCTCTGGACTGGCTCCAGTAGCTCCATGTCCTTGTGCTGTTGGTGGCCCCAGCACTGGAGGCAGCACTGCAGGTGGGGTCTGAGGAGAGCGGAGCAGAGGGGCAGAATCCCCTCCCTCCACCTGCTGCCCACGCTGCTCTGGGTGCAGCCCAGGACACGGTTATTGGCCTCTGGGCTGTGAGCGCACGTTGCCAGCCCACGTCCAGCTCTTCATCCCCCAGCACCCCAAGTCCTTCTCCTCAGGGCTGCTCTCCATCCATTCCCCACCCAACCTGGATTTGTATCTGAGGTTGCCCTGACCCAGATGCAGGACCTTGCCCTTGTTGAACTTCATGAGGTTTACACAGACCCCACCTCTCAAGCCTGTCCAGGTCCCTCTGGATGCCATCCCGTCCCTCCAGTGTGTCAGCCGCACCACTCAGCTTGGTGTTGTTGGCAAACTTGCTGAGGGTGCCCTCAATCCCACTGTTGATGTCGCCAACAAAGATATTAAGTAGTGCCGGTCCCATCACCGACCCCTGAGGTCACTTGTCTTCGGCTTCCACTCGGACATTGAGCTGTTGACCACAACTCTTTTGAGTGCAACCATCCAGCCAGTTCCTTATCCACTGAGCAGTCCATCCATCCAATCCATGCCTCTCCATCTTAAGGACACGGATGTCATGTGAGACAGTGGTCGTGATAAAATGAGGTTCTGAAGTGAGTAGTTTCATTGGTAGGCAATGACAGTGCTGTGGAATCACGAGAATCCCCTTTTCAGACTAGCTGGGGAGTTTGCGTTGTCGTCTTGTCTCTCTTCAAGTGAATGGTGTTTTTACAGGAAATCCAGGAATTTCCTGTCAGTCACTGAAGTGGGAGGGTTGTCATCTTTCTCCGGTACCTTAATGGTGTTTCTAGTTTGACAAATGTAATTTGGTTATGTGTAGTCATAGAATTATAAAATTAGTAATATGTTGTGAAGGAATTAATGTTCTTGATTTTAAAAAATATGTTTGTAATCTGGGCCCTGTAAAATCTTTTAATCATCTCTGTTGCTATGGAAAGCATTATTTATTTTCACACCAAAGTGACTGGCTAGCTCCTGGCTTGAGATGCAAACTGCTGTGCCTTCAGGATGCCAAAATACCGCAACAGCCCTTTGGTTCTGTCCACTCTGTGACCGATTCAGTGATACCATTTCTGTGGTAAAAGGTTGAGGCTTTGAGGTTCTGTCTCAAGAACACTTGGCAGGGTTGTCAAGGCAGTGCTGTGGTTTTAACCAGATTAACTCCCAGCATTAGCATTAGCTCATAATGACCTTAGCATGCAGATATTTATTTTATACATTGCCTTTTGAACAAAATATTCTTCTAAACAGCTATATTGATGCCCTGAAGAACAGTGAACTGATTAAGGCTGGTACCTGCATTAGTGTATTACTGATAAAAATCTTCTGATTTCAGTTCTCCAGCAAAGAAGCCTTGTCTTCGAAAGGCGCTGCAGTTTGAAGCAGATCTGTTTGATTCTAGTTCTGAAGGGCAGAGCTCAGAGGCTTTGGGAGCTTCGTTGTCATCTCTGAGTAACCTGGTAGGATTAGTGGCGGAGACATCTGAAGAACGATACCGTCTTTTGGACCAAAGGGACAAAATCATGCGACAAGGTAATTACACAAGTTAACGAGTGTAACATCTGCTTCTCTGCTGGAAATAAATGAGTATTTGGTGTTTGTTGCAAAGCTGTTGTGATATTATGTCTGTAAAATACTCTTCTATTGTGAGGAATTGTCATATACATTAATTTCTTGCAGAACACACACAAAAAAAATCTGGTTTACTTATTGCATGTGCACATTTCTTGTGGAAAGTGAATAGCAGACTGTTCATCTTCTGTGAAGGAGGCCGTGTAATGCATCCTTGCAGGCTCTTTAAAGAAAACTGCTCATAGCCCAGAGTGTTTCTCTAAATTCAGACTGTTACGAAGCTGGTTGTTATGTCAAGAAACGGCCCTTTGTTTCACAGTGTTGGGGTTGTAAATCTTTCCATCCTGTCCTTGCCATTTCAAGGATGACCCTACTTTTAATTTAAGATCTTATTTTTAATATTGACAAATAGATTTCTCAGCTGCTTGACGTGGAATTGGGAAATCACTGGTGCTCAGTTAGGACAGGCTGTTAGGATACAAAACACTGGGCATCTTTTAGAGGCTTCAATCTTCTCAGCAGATCTTTTGATATCCAGCCTGGATGGTAGGAGAAACTTCCCCAAAGGAGCAGGGCAGCTCTTGGACAGGCCCCAGAGTGGGGGAACCCTATCCTTGTGTGTTTCAGACCATGCTAGGGTGTGGGTACAGCCTCACTCTGATTAGAAGTAGGATGGGAATCTCGAGAGAAAATTTTGTGTGAGTTCTTGCCCTAGCAATATACTTCTTGACATCCATCCATTGCCCAATGTACAGATTCCAGCTGAGGCATCTGCCCAGCTTAGGACTGTGTTGGCACATCAGGGTAATAGCTTGTCATGAAAACAAAACCAAGAGATGCTTAGTGTTTGTTCAATTTAATTTATATTTTTTAGCTCGAATAAAAAGGACTGATCTTGGCAAAGCAAAAACAGTTGTTGGCACTTGCCCAGACATGTGTCCTGAAAAGGAGCGCTACATGAGGGAGACGAGAAACCAGCTCAGTATCTTTGAATTGCTTCTAGGATCTGACAAGGTATGAGCCCTCTGTACACAGGGGTTTGTTGTTCCCAGGACATCCGTAAAGCTGTTGGTGTTGTTTAGTTGATTCTGGTGGAAAAATTCTGTAGGCCATTTCATTAATATCTTTCAATTCCCTGTTGTAAAACAGAAAGCTAGAGAATTGCTTTTTCACTCTAAATCATGTCTTTTATTTAGCTGCAGACAGGCTTTTAGAACTGTAGTCCTAAAACTATAGGGCAGCTGTATACACTGTCTTGAACGTTATGAGTTTGAAACTAAGTCAACACTGAGGATCCTGTCATAAAAGAAAATAAAATGTATTTGTTTTTCTGGCAGAATGGATGTGGGCTGTTAGTGTGAAGAGTGGAGAAATGCCTTCTGTAGTCTGCTCCTTACTAAAATAAAGGCATAGATGGGATGAAATCCTCTGTGCTCCTGAAAAGTTAAACATGCTCCTTGGGTTTGATCAGAGGGGTGTAACAGCTCTGCTATGAGGACAGGCTGAGACAGTTGGGGCTGTTCAGCCTGGAGAAGAGAAGGCTCCAGGAAGACCTTATTGTACCTGTCGATGCATAAAGGAGGCCTATAAAAAAGATGAGGACCAACTTTTTATCAGGGCCTGTAGTGACAGGACAAGGGGTGATGGTTTTAAACTAAAAGAGGGGAGATTTAGACTGCATACAAGGAAGAAATTTTTTGCACTGAGGGTGATGAAACCCTGGCCCAGGTTGCCCAGAGAGGTGGTAGAAGCCCCATCCCTGGAAACATTCAAGCTCAGGTTGAGCGGGGCTCTGAGTAACCTGATCTGGTTGCAGCTGTCCCTGCTCACTGCAGGGGGGTGGTTGGACTGGATGGCCTTGAAAAGTCCCTTCAACCCAAACCAGTCTGTGATTCTATGATTTTGATTCTTTCTCCACATCTCACAGGTAGATCACGCAGCAGCAGTCAAAGAATATAGCAGGTCTTCAGCGGATCAGGAGGAACCTTTGCCCCATGAACTGAGACCCTCTGAGGTGTTGAGCATGACCATGGACTATTTAGTGACAAACATTATGGATCAAGGAGAAGGAAACTACCGAGAATGGTATGACTTTGTCTGGAACAGAACTCGTGGAATAAGAAAGGTAGGCACTGGCAGATGGAGGCGTGTGATGGTAGAAAGCAAAAGATCCTGTAACACTGTAAAAACAGTTAAGCAAAAAGCAATAGTGATTCAATGTTTTGAATTATGAAATGCCTCAAAGCACAGCTGAAATGAGTTTTCCAAAGGTAGTGCCAGATGACTGTGCTCTTCTACTGTAGTTCAAAACTACATGCAACATTTTCTTTATCATTCTGGTTAGGATATAACCCAGCAACATCTCTGCAACCCACTGATGGTGTCTCTGATTGAGAAGTGCACTCGCTTTCACATCCATTGTGCTCACCACTTGTGTGAAGAGCCCATGTCCTCCTTTGACACCAAAATCAACAATGAGAACATGACTAAATGCCTGCAGAGCTTGAAGGAGATGTATCAGGACCTGGCTAACAAGGGAATTTACTGCAAGAGTGAAGCAGAGTTCAGAGGTTACAATGTCTTGCTGAATCTCAACAAGGGCGATATTCTCAGGTGAGAACAACAGATATATCTTGTTTTCTCTGTCTCTAGAAAGACTGAAATTAGGATCAAGTCCAGACAAGTTGTAATAGAAGTGAAGGGCTCAGTTGCAAATTTTTTTCCAAAGAAAGTGAACTGTAGTTATATTTTATTTTAATTTTTTGTTAGGTTTTATTTTTAAAAGTGTCTTTTTTAAGAAAAGAAAAAAAAACAACTTTGTTTTATCTCCTTGAATAACTCTCTAGAGCTTCTGCAGGTAGTAAAAAAACCAACCAACCAAAAAGAAGTTAATCTTTGCTATTCTCAGTTAAGGAATTTTTTTTTTTCCTCTTCTGAGAATGGTATCCAAGCTTCATTGTTTTATCTACAGTACAGCCAAGCAAAAGCCCTTTTGTAGGCAGAGTCATACTTTGCTTTTCTCATCAATCTTTTAACTGCCTTCCCCCCTGGATGCTGGAGTGATGTACCTAAACAATAGCATGCTGATTATGCAAGCATCATTAGAAGATTAATGATCAGAAAATAATGCTGCAGATTTAATTCACAGCTGTTTGTTTTGGACAGGAGTTGCACGTTTTCCTTAAAGCTCCTAACTTTGTGTTTCATTCCAGGTTGCTATTGAGTTGTGGTTGTCATATTGAAGCAAAAGCTGTCTCCTCTCTTTTGTCCCCACAGAGAAGTACAGCAGTTTCATCCAGAGGTTAGAAACTCTCCTGAAGTTAGATTTGCAGTTCAAGCTTTTGCTGCATTAAACAGCAACAACTTTGTGAGATTTTTCAAGTTAGTGCAAGCAGCTTCCTATCTGAACGCTTGTCTCTTACACTGTTATTTCAACCAGGTGAGAAAAAGGCAGATGGCTATTTGTTGAAGTGTTAGTAAAAGTCTGGGACTGTTGGGAGATCTTCTCAGAGTGCAGAAAACTTGGTAAATATTTAGCCTTAAAAATAATCTTGTTCTTGCTTCTTCAGAAGTGCCTAAAAAACTTATCAAGAGTTTTCTGCCATGATACAAAAGGCAAATACTAAAATGCTCTTTTCAGCATTTTTTAAGTTTGTACAAATACATATTATTTCCCCTGCAAATCATCAGGAAGCAGAGAAGCGAGCCTGAGAGTTTTGCAAAGGAAATATCAACCTGTACTCTTAGAAGCCCTTGCAAGCTTTTTATTCTGCACAAGAATCACAAAGGCATGTGCTCAAAATGAGCAGAAACTAGAAAGCAAATACATATAATTTAAAAAAGAAATTTAAACCTGAGTAGTTGTTTGTGTGGGTATTTGATGACAAAGTACTGATTTCTTTTAAAGGTGATTTTCATGTATGTAGTACACTTGCCTTTTTGGGGTCTTTAACTTAGTAGTTACGTGGCTTTTCCTTTTCTCTTCCCCCAGATTCGTAAAGATGCTCTCAAATCTCTCAATATTGCCTACACTGTGAGCACCCAAAGATGTACAGTGTTTCCCTTGGATCATCTGGTCCGCATGCTGCTGTTCAGAGATTGTGAGGAAGCAACTGATTTTATAAGTTATTATGGCCTGAGTGTATCTGATGGGTAAGTGTAAGGAAAAGGGTGTCTGTGCCTTGGGATGTTGTCCTAGTGGAGTTTGAGTTATGTTGAGTGAAGAATTGATGTGGATGGGCTGCCCCTGGAGTTTGCAACCAGAAAAAGCAAAGATCAGGTAAAGGGCAGGGGCTGGGTTCTGTAAGCAAAACACTAGGATAGTGGTTTTAATTTTAATAATCTGTTCTATTTTTATTACTCTAATTATAAGTTCTTTAATATAAGTTCTTTAATTCAAGAAATGAGGTCTGAATCCCTGTAACTAATGTGACTTGCCACAATAGCTTTTTTTTTTTTTTTTTTTTTCCATTTTTAATTTTTTTTTTTTTTTGCACTTGTACATCTTTTTTCACTTGGTTTGATAAGGTGACAAGGGATTTCAAGGCTAGAAAATCCCTTCAACCTTCTGGAAGGTGGTGAAAAACAAGAGAAACATTTTCCCCAAAGGAGAGACTACATATTGAGCTCTGTCTCCATTGGACTTCAGGGACTTCCTACCTAGAAAGAGATGTTGTGGATAACCCAGTAGGGGGAAAAAAAAAATTGTTTTAGGTTCTTAACTTGCAGTTGAATTGTAGTAAATTGCAGCTCTGTAGGAGATGAGGATACAGGTCTGCTTCTCAGGAAACTGGCATTATGGTGGTGCATAGGGCAGGGTGAAGCTGAACAGTGCAAACCAGTTTTTGGAGGATGGTGGAGGTCACCAGTTTGCAGGTAGGAGTGTCTGCCATGGAAATACATAGGTTGTAAGGGGTGCTCAGACAGACATACATCAAGAGAAAGCAAAAAAACCTCGAGCATGCCAGTTAGTGCTCTATTTCCTGTTAATGTTCTAATTGGAGATATGTATTCTTGGGGGTTTTTTATGATTTATTTTTCCCCAGTGCTTACGTGGAACTGAATCGCTCAGCTTTCTTGGAGCCAGATGGATTACCCAAACCACATAAATCGATGTTTGTCAGCCAGAAGCTCACTGTCTCGGTTGGGGAAGTTGTAAATGGTGGCCCACTGCCCCCCATGCCTCACCACGTGCCTGCGTCCAGCTTCAACGCACAGAACAAGTATACTGGCGGAAGCACCTCTGTGGATCTAGCTAGTAGTAGCCAAAAATCCAGCATGGAAGTAACAGGTAGGAGCAAACAGGCATTTTTAGCTCAGGAACATACTGCTGGGTCAGTTCTGTGAGTAGATTTATTTTACAAAGCAGAAACTGTTCTTGGCTCATATGGGTTGAAACTGCATCGAAATTTGGATGTAATGAAAGCGTGTTTTGGTTTAAATGTACCTATGTATCTGTAAAAGCTAAAAAGCAACCTGATTAATAACATATATTTCCCAGTATGGAAAATGCACTAACGGAAATGAGTGCAGTTTCACCAACATAGGTGAAATAACCAGATATTTGTCTGCTTCAGACATCCAGGTTCCCTTTTCAGTTTGCAGGTTTTGTATCACAACTGTTTGTTCCCACTATGTGTGTGGTCATGTTGGTTTTTCAAGTTAGAACGTATGCTTTTTTGTCCTCGTTGAAAGTACAGATATATACATTTATTCAAGAGGTGTGTGTAGGTGCTAGGTGTACTTTATGTTTTTGGAAATGAATGTACTTGGTGTTGGAGATGATGTGCAATTAAATTTGTGAATGTTTTGTTTAAAAATATTCATAAATACAAATTAGATTCTATGGTATAATTATATTGTTAACTTTAATGCAGCAAGCTTCTGTTATGGACTTGTTTTATGACCTGATGAGATTTATCCCACAAGTCAGCTTTTGAAGATCAGAGTATTGCTTCTATTTGTGACTGACCTTGTTTCCTTAATTTTTCTCTTCCTCCCCCTCCCAAGAAGGAAGAGTGGAAAGCAAAGGTGTGGATTTAGATGCCGCAGCAGTAAGGGTCCAGCCCCCAGCACATCTCCTGCCCTCGCTGGTACCTCGTCAGCTTGTGCCAATGGTGCCTCCTGTGCAGGCAGTCTCCCAGCCTGGTGGACAACCTGAGCCTCTCCCTTCAAAGCCTCAGCCTGTCTACACAGACACAGTAAGGAAATTTAAAACCATCGTGAAGTATTTGGGGAAGATCTGTGAAGTATAATAAAAGATTGATAAAGTATAATAAAATTAGAGCTGTTGGAGCAGGGCCAGAGGAGAGCCAGGAAGATGGTCAGAGGGCTGGAGCCCCTCTCTGCTGGAGAAAGGCTGAGGGAGCTGGGCTTGTTGAGCTTGGAGAAGAGAAGGCTCTGGAGAGACCTCATTGTGGCCTTCCAGTACCTGAAGGGAGCCTCTAAACAGGAGGGAGAGGGACTTTTTCCATGGGCAGAGAGTGATAGGACAAGGGGAAATCGTTTTAAACTGAGAGAGGAGATTGAGGTGAGATATTAAGAGGAAATTTCCCCCCACAGAGGGTGGTCAGACACTGGCCCAGGTTGGCCAGAGAAGCTGTGGCTGCTCCTCCCTGGAAGTGTTCTCGGCCAGGTTGGATGAGGCTTTGAGCAACCTGGTCTAGTGGAAGGTGTCCCTGCTGATGGCAGGGGGGTTGGAACTAGGTGATCTTTAAGGTTCCTTCCAACCCAAACCAGTCTGGCATTCTGTGTTCTTGTTTGGGTTTTGCTGGGATAGAGTCATAGAACCAGTTTTCTGTTCAGAAAAGTTGTGTTTTTAAGAAGCCTGCAGCATCTGATCTCATGAGAACAAAGTTAATAAGACACTTTGTTTTAGTTTGTGGCCAGCCATGGTACACGAGTTTCCACAGTGATCAAGGTCTTTCAGCAGTGTGGAGTTAGCCAGGGAGCTAAGGTGAGGAGGAGCAGCTAAGGTGAGGCCAGGGCAGCTGACCCACGCTGGCCAACGGAAGTGTTCCATCCTATAAACTTCACGATCACTATAAAATGGAAAGTTTGCTGGTGACGTCTCTGTTTCTCAATGGTCACCATCTCTGGAAGGTCTCACTCACTCTGCTCCTGAGGCCAACTCTCCTGCTTGCTGTGACCATCATGCCTTTGCCAGAGCGGTGGTGCTCAAGGTGTTTGACATTTCGCATTCACTGCTGGGAGCGTGCAGCTCCTGACCACTATGTGGGCTGAGTATAACTTTGTGTTCTTTATATTAGTAAGAATATTAAGTTTTTATTTTATTAAATCTGTTTCCATTTCGAACCCATGGATCTTCTTTCTTTTTCCCAATTCCCCTTCTCAGGTGGGTGGGGAGGGATCACTGGGTGATAGAACAGCTGGCTGTTGTTTAGCTGGGGGCTAAGCAGAGACACTTCTTTAGGTTGGTTTAGTTTTCCAGAATCTGCAGAGACAAATGGAGACGCTCCCTGCTTCAGTGCTGTGGATACTTTGGGAAGTTTTTTCTTTGAACTCTTCTGAAAAGAGGGGTTGGTTGATTTCGGATGGAGGCCTGAAATGTCAGTGATTGCTCTGACTCCTTCATATGATAAAGTCCTATAGGATAAAGTCTGTTTAGCATTTATCTGAGGAACCTCTAAGGAGAGAGTCAGAAAGTGACAGCAGAAAGGGATTATCTTGACTTAATAGGTAAACTTTGCTGTAATGAATAATAATGAGCTGTTTCTTAATGGCATGTATCTCAAATGAGGCATGCCAACGTTTCTTATTGTGGATATATGACTATGAACCTTGAGTTGTGAATGTGTACCCCGTATATCTGTGCTGTTCCCCCTTTTTCTCCATCCCACGCATGTTTAGATATGTACTAATGCTGAACCCATCTCAGAGTGTCTTATGGCTTTGTGACCTACAGCTGCCGTATTCTGTCGCAGTGTGGCTACATTTCAGCAAAGATTAGACCTGGTCATTTGGAATTAAATGAGCTTGTAGAGCAATGGCAACTCTAGGAGAAACTCTGAAGGACAAAAGAATCTGTCTCAATATTCACTTTTCTTAGCTATTATTTCCTATCTTGACTCGCCCATATTTAATACAGAAAGCTGCTTTTGTTTCTAGGCTGTTGTTAACCTTTTAGATAGTCTCAAATGTCCAGGCTGTTGTGTTTGATTAAGTTAGCTTAGTTTCTCAGTAGAAATATGGGTCATGTTGCCAATTACAGTCTGAAGTACCTCTCTCCCAGCTCACGTGTGCGCCCAGGTCATCCTGAGCAGGACCACATCTTGTTTCAACTGCTTCCTCTGTTGTGTTGTAGGACATTGCCGAAGTGGTGGATGGGCTTGTGCAAGAAATCCTCAAAGGAGAGTGCAGAGAAGTTGGCAGAGCGGGAGCAGCTTACGTGACTGCTGCCATCTGGTAACGAGCATTTATTGCTGGTACTCCTGGGGTCTGTCATCAAAGCTCCAATTTGCCATAGCAGCACCATGTGTGAAGGTTATAAAACAGTTGAGGGAAAGTCAGACCTTTCTTCAGATGTCTGCCGCCTCTCTGTTACGCACCAGCTAGCCTCACAGAAGGCTAACTGCTGCAGACCTCTGTGAAGCTCACCTTCCCTGACACTCACCACTGCCACAATGCTGTGGAAGGGAAGGTGCCCAAAGGGGGATGAGGAGTAAGTCCAGATGTGGCTGCTTCTCTGTTTCTAATAAAGATTCCTCCCCAAGGCAGTTGGGAGAGTCGTGGATGTGGGTTTGTGACCAAAACAGTGTTACTAATGCGCTAACATTTTGGTTATTGCTGAAGAGTGCAGGGTCAAGGCCTTCCTTGTTTCCCACTCTGTGAGTAGGCTGAGGGTGTGTGCAAGAGGTCTGGGGGGGGACACAGCTGGGACAGCTGACCTGGACTGACCAGAGGGATAGTCCATACCATGTAACATCATGGTCAGCAATAAAACTGGATGAGAAGAAAAAGAAGATGGAGTATTCTGGCTTCGAGGGTGGCCATTGATTGGAAACTGTCCAGACATTGATCTGTGGGAGGTGGTGGCTGATTGCCTTTGCTGGCTTGGTGGGGATGTGGGGTTTTTTTTCCCCTTCCCCTATTAACTGTCTGTCTTTATCTCAAGCCATTAATTTTCTTGCTTTTGTTCCTCCCGTGTTCTCCCCTGTCCCAGTGTGAGGAGAGGAGTGAGCCAGTAGCTTGGCTGGTGGCTGGAGTCAGCCCACCACAGTGGAGCAAGGGTGTGCTTGGGAAAAGCACAGATGTAGGGCTTGGGATGAAAATGTTGTGGCTTTGAAAAGAGAATCGCTGTTTCTGCACAGCACCTCCGAGACCACTGTGGAGGACCTCGTGGCTGAGGCGATGGAGGATATCCTCAGAGAAGTGGCTGGCAGCGTGCTTAGCGCGGAAAGGGAGCGTGTCAAAGAGGAAAGGCGCAGAGTGGAGGAAGAGAGGTGAGTCGCTGCTTTTGCTGTGGGGCAGGGTGGGCTGTGTACACCCTTCAGCAACATAATGACAGCTGGTGCCAACCTGAGTTGCCCAGGCCCTGTGTCTCTCTGCCAGACTGACAGCACTCAGTTTGTCTCACCTTGAACTGCCCTGGGATTGTGCAGACAAGTTGTCCTTTCCACCTCTCAGGTGATCTGCTAGTTAGTATTTTGGTGTCCTGCCAGAGCCACTGTGAAAATGATGGGTGGGAATTTTGGGAACTTCTATTCACCCAGAGCTTCCAGAGAAGGAGAAGTACCCTGGCCCTGTTGTATGCTGGAACTTTTCCTTCCAAGTCAGCTAGTTGTCTGGAGTTTACTGGAGTAAGAATAAAATAACCCCATTGTTACCTGTATTTTTGAGGGAAACCTGGCTTAATGCAAAGCTGATTATCTTTAAAGAGGGAAATCAACTAGTGAGATTTTAGGCGAATCTAAAATCCTCCCTATCTGACACTGGCTGTAGCACTTGTGTAACTAAGCAGCAGGTTTGCTGGTGTGAGTCCCTTCGTTTGTGTACGTCTTACCTCTGTTGTCTTGCTACTTGTGTAAATCTTTTCTCTGTTCTTCCAGGCAAAAGCAGGAAAGAGAACAGTTAATAAAGCAGTTGAGCCAATTGGTGTGTATGGAGTTAATGGAAGAAGTAATAAAGGAGGGTGTACGAGAAGCTTCAGCTGATGAGTTAAAGTATGTACAAGATACTCTCTGCTCTACTTTGCTATTTGATTATTTCTTAAGGGTAAGAATTTGTCAGGGTGTGGTGGGCTTTTTGCTTGACCTTCTCTGAAGTCATCTTCAATTAACTACTTAAAAGAAACGGAAAGTGTACTTGATTGTACAGTGGGCTGCCCCTTTGCTAAATGTGATGATCTATCCTGTTTGTACCTCAGCTAAATTGTATTGGCATTTACTGCTGTCTCCCAACTCACCAGAGGTCTTGGTTTGTTTGATTTTGAACTAGATGTGCCTTAGAAAGAGACTGGCAAGGCTGTGTAGCCAGGTGTTCAGAAGAAGTCTGTGGTCACCTCATGGACCTCTTTCTGGAGGATGAGATTTTCCAGATTGCTAAGGAAACCCTTCAGGAGCTCCAGTGTTTCTGCAAGTATTTGCAACGGTGAGTTGCCACCCTGTGTGTGACACAACAGCTTTTCTGGGGAGCGTTGGCAAGGAGTGGTTAACAGAGTTTGCACCAGAGTTGTCTGGCTGTGTTCTTTTTGCTGTCATCTTCACTCCACTGTAAGGGTAGACTGACAGTCATTACCAGACTCTAATAAGTTACTCAGCTGTATTTGGGGAGGGGAGTGCACTTCATCAGTCAGGTAATGAGCTTGGTAGGAGATTTCAGCTTCATTCTATCTAGAAACTTGTAAGAATTTCTCTTTGTATTCTTTCCATTGGATGCTTATTTTTCTGGATACGTGCAGATCTCCACGGCAGAGATTCATTTCTCTCTGTACTGTGCTGTGTCCCAGTGCAGCCAGATTGAGGTGCATTTCAGGTGGCATCTCTCAGCACTAAAGAGGAAGCAGCAGGCCAGTCTCTTTTCTGTGGAGCATCTTCCCTTGCAAGAGTTCTTTCTGTCCCAAAATTGAGTTTGTGCATCTCTTCAGGGCGTGTGTAAATAGCCCTCAGTGCAATAGGGAAGACTGAGGAGGAGCCTAAAGAAAGGTGAAACAAGTGTGCCTGCAGCAGTCAAGAAAATTGGATGACGCAGGAATATTTTTATAAGCCCTGAAAATACCTGAGAAAACACAAAAAAATATTTTTAATTAATAAATTGGCATTTTTGTGTTATAACACTGAGTGCCACCCAATTTGAATCATTTGATCATAGAAAAATACGCAAGCATCTAATCATAAAGGCTTTGTTATATGTTCTCTCCTTGCTGGTGAATTTGCCTTTTAAAATGTTCCTTAAAAACAGAACAAGTAAAAAAGAGGCACACCTTTCTTACTGCAGTAGATGTTGCTAGAGTGTTTACAGTAAATGCTTGGGATATCGGAAAAGCTTTATAATGGATCCTGTGTAAAATGGTGTATGTGCTAGGTATGGAATCATAGAATCATTTAGGTTGGAAAAGACCTTTAGGATCAATGGGAAGGAAAACTATACTTGAACTTTTGCCTGGGCAGCACAGGACAAGGCACAGCACAGCTGAGGGAGGGATGAGATGGAAGAGGGGCAGTCCTGCTTCCTTCTCGTGATCTGTCTGGCCACTGAGGGCAAGTGCAGCATGCTAAGCAGAAGGCTGCTCTGACTTTGCAGCTGTGTGCAGAAATACAGCCTGAGCCCACTGCACCGCTCACATCCACCACCTGTGGCAGAAAGGTTCTGCAAGGTTCAAGCAAATGACTTGAACTTTGCATGAAGATTTAACTGCAAGATTCAAGCAGATGACTTATTTTCAGAGCTTCTCTGCTGTGAGGACAGGCTGAGAGAGTTGGGGCTGTTCAACCTGGGGAAAAGAAGGCTCTGGGGAGACCTTCTAGTGGCCTCCCAGTACCTGAAGGGGCTCCAGGATGGTGGGGAGGGACTTTGGCCAAGGGCAGGGAGTGACAGAACAAGGGGTGATGGCTTGAAAGTGGCAGAGGGGAGATGGAGATGAGATGTGAGGAAGAAATTCTTTGAGGGGTGAGGGTGGTGAGCCAGTGTCCCAGGTTGGCCAGAGAAGCTGTGGCTGCTCCTCCCTGGAAGTGTTTGTGGCCAGGTTGGATGAGGCTTTGAGCAACCTGGTCTAGCGGAAGGTGTCCCTGCTGATGGCAGGGGGGTTGGAACTGGATGAACTTTAAAGTCCCTTCCAACCCAAACCAGTCTGGGATTCTATGATTCTATGATTTGAACTTCACTTACAGACTTGACACGACACCATTGCAGGTTTTACAGATACAATGGAGGAATGGACTACTGCAATTTTAAAAGTAAGAGCAGCACGCTATTACAACCACAAGTGTTTCACAGACAACCACAAGCACACTAAACATTACACGTGTTTACAAACTTAAAGCACAGACAATACTCACTGACTACCCCTCCAGGTAAGGGCTCTCAGTCCCAGAGAAGCTACCTTGACCAGTGTCCTGATCTAGAGGGGAAGAGTCTCCTTCACAAACCATCTGTATAGTTGGAGAAATGACTCCCCCTGTTTCCAACCTGAATCTTGGGGGTTTTTTCCCCTGATTCACCTAACAGTGTGTATGACTGAGTGGATTATACTGCTAGCTTTGGCAGTGTGATGGAGTTTCCCATTCTCTGTCTTTCCTTGCTGATCTGTGATTGTTTGAGTACACAAGATCATTGTTTGAAACTGAAGCTGAAACCCTCCAGCTTTTCTTTACCTTGCTTCCTCAGGAGGCTGAACAGTGGTTGGATTGAGACTTGGGGCTTGGTGTTTGTGTAGGGATTTCAAGGCTTGTCTCAGGTTTTGCTTCTTTGAATGGTGTGGCCACCGCCCTGTTTAGCTCATCAGACAATCCAGGGCTGAGGAGCCATCTCCACAGTTCCCCATGAGTTGTGTCTACAGAGAGACAGGGCCTCAAGGCAACCCAAGGCTGGGTCGCTTTTGTAACCCGCCATGAGTTGTCTGTGTGGTGCACAAGACATTGTGAAACTTGTTTGTGAACTACAAGCTGGGCAATCTATATACCACCTCCCACTGTCCTCTGGGCAGACTGACTTGTGGGGTGCTGGAGAGCCCAATCCAGTCTGAACAGCAAAGATTATAGAATGGTCTGGGTTGGAAAGGACCTTAAAGATCATCCAGTTCCACCACCCCTGCTGTGGACAGGGTTGCCAACCACTGCATCAGGCTGCCCAGGGCCCCATCCAACCTGGCCTTGAATGCCTCCAGGGATGGGGCATCCACAGCTTCTCTGGGCAACCTGGGACACTGTCTCACCACCCTCTGGGGGAAACATTTCCTCCTCATATCCAACCTAAATCTCCCCTCTCTCAGTTTAAAACCATTTCCCCTTGTCCTGTCACTCTCTGCCCAGGGAAAAAGTCTCTCTCCCTCCTGTTTCTAAGCTCTCTTCAGGTACTGGAAGGCCACAGTGAGGTCTCCCTGGAGCCTTCTCTTCTCCAAGCTCAACAAGGCCAGCTCCCTCAGCCTTTCTCCAGCAGAGAGGGGCTCCAGCCCCTCTTCATTATGAGAAAACCTGTTTGGTCTGCAGAAGAGTTTATTTAACGTGACCTATTTATCTGTTCTCTTGTGAAGGTGGAGGGAGGCAGTGGCAGCTCGAACAAAGTTGAAACGTCAGATGAGGGCATTTCCAGCTGCTCCTTGTTGCACAGATCCAAAAAATAAACTGAAAGCGCTGGCCCCCAGTGCAGAGTGGCCGATAACCATGGAGAACTTGTACAAGGGAATTGTAAACCTGGGGCATGGAGGAAAACTGGGAGTCTCTTGCACGAGGTAAGGATACTTCTAGTGACAGCAGCTGGCAATCAATCTGGTTGGTTTTTTTGGAAGGTAAGTAGCCCTCTTCTGTTGCGAATATTAATGGTTTTGCCAAACTGTTCTTAAATACCCTTAAAAAGACCCTATCTGCACAAATGCTGTGACAAAGACGGAAAATCCAAATAAATCCTTCTTTATTAGTGACAGCTTCTAAAGTGTCTGCCGTACTTCTTAGTCTCTCTTAAATTTGGTTAAAGTACCTGTTTTATACCAAAATTACAGCCAAGAATCTTTTGTTTCCAGATTGAATTGGCTGAGAAACAAGACATTGCATGAAATGAAAGTTCAGCACTTCTACCAGCAATTGTTAAGGTATGTTGGTGTTTGATCCTGGTTTTCTTTCTCCGCAGACTGTAACAGAAATACCGGAGGTCTTGAAAATGTTGGTAAGGAATGGCAAGTCATACTCAAGTGTCCACTTGCAGCCTTGCTTCTGGGACTATTTTTGAGATAAGGGAAACTGGAAGATAAATTCACAGAAGTGCTAGGCCATCTGATCCTATTGCTGTGTAACTATAAGGATCTGATGGATATTATGGATTGGTTTTTGTCCCTGGGTGGGGTGGGACCTGGGTTGGTTGTACAGGGGAGAGGAGCAAATGAGCTGTTACTGGCCTGGCTTGTGGCACAAAGGGATTGATCTAGCTGGTGAAAGGAGGAGGTCTGCCTTCTCATGGACTCTAGCAGCCTGGGGTTTATTGGAGCAGTGTGCAAGTGAAGCAATCTTCATTAACAACTTGGATACAGGACTGGAGGGACTGCTAACAAAGTTTGCTGATGACACCAAAGTGGGAGGAGCTGTGGACATTCTTGAGGGCAGAAAAGCGCTGCAGAGAGATCTAGGTTAATAGAGAGCTTGGCAATCACAACCGTATGAATCTGAACAAGGGCAAGTGC